ATATATAATTTTTTTTTTTTTTTTATACAAAAGAAGCTGAAGATATGACGTCACTTACTGTGGTCTCTGTACAGGTCATCTTTTTTTCTTTTTTCTTTTTTTTTTAAACCCCAAAACTCGTCATGAGTGGATCAGGAGTTTGATTTCACTTCTGCAGATGGATATTAATCTGACCACTAGGGGGCAGAGCTCCTTCTCTTCTGCCATCCAGTTTGCCTTTTTTTCTTTTCTTTTCTTTCTTTTTATTTAAGATGTTGAAACCATTTTCCAGTCTGCTTGCGATCTTAACTGGAGGACAGTGTTACGTGCTTGCTATGTAGAGACGAATGTGGATCAAGGAGGCGTTTGGCTTTGTTTTTTGTGGGAGAGATGCCCCCCACCCCCCATCCCGTTTTTCTTTTGTTCTTGCAAGATCAAACCCTTTGCTTCCACATACCTGCGAATCTCCACCATCATACAGACACTTCACTATTTCAGCTCATCCCTGACCTCATCACTCCAACTGGACATATCACATTGCCACATTGGATTGTGGAAATCTGCAATATAAATGGAGCTGAAGAAATGCACCCTGCATGCGATCACATAATGGGACAGGAAATTGAAGGCATATAATAGTTGGGTTTGGTTAATCTGCTTTGCTAGTCTTTCATTTAAAATACAGAAAAACACAGATTATTGGGAAATATTCATATTTGGTTAGTAGGTAGATTGCTGCAGATGGGTACATCAAAGTTGTTTCCTTGTTTTTAGGTGCATTTCTCAAATCATGAGAGCTGTTTGACGCAGAGGACATATGTGGTGGTTATGCTAGTTTAACCAAAGCAAGTTTAGAAACCGTGGACAGACGGTAAAGAAAAGCAGGAGGTATCTTAAGAGAGACTTGAGTCATGTTTTTAATTTTTATTTTTAGGGGCTTCCTCTTTCAGGCAGCCGACAGTGAGCTGAGAGGGTTTCAACATCTGGCAGTTTTATTATAATTTTTTATTTTTTTTAAATGGACCATAGGTTGCCTTGTGTGTCTATAAAAATGTTTAGCCATTGTTTTAATCACCTTTTTGTTTTGTTTTGGGGTTTTTCTTCGCTGTACAGAGAATAGATTTAGGAGAAACCAGTTGTCAAGTGCCATAGACCTTGAACTGTTTGAACAGGGTGGTGGGGGGACCTTTGACGCCAGAACCCAAGCAATACTCACATATTCACAACCTCCTGAGTACGTTTGCAGCATAATGGCTTAGAAGCAATATTTAAAGCCTTTATTTTCATTCACACAAAAAAATCTTCTTTTTTTTAAACAACACAACCTTTTAGTATTCCCTGATGATTTTACATGATTTTTTATATTGTGAAAAGAATCTTTTTGTAATGAAATGGCACAGGAAATAAATATATGGTAGTGTTTCAAAAAATGATTAAAAAAAACAAACAAAAACTCTGCGTTGTGTAAGAGCAGGTTTTAGCGTGTGTTGCGTAGCATACCGTGTCTTCTAATGTTTTAATGTAGGTCGAAACATTTGTAATGTTCGTCACCGAAGGAAAATTGTGGTTTTTAAAGCAATGTCGTCAGCTTAAAAAACTAGGCTCTGATTGGGACAGTGAATGCGTCATTTGCAGCCGCACATTTGTGACCACTGAGTTGTACAATATAAATTGCATTTTAATCCAGCAGTGTTTGAACAAGAAGCATTCCCTCGACTCACGACGGCCGATTAGATTAGGAGTCGTCTGCTGTGCTCTTCTTGTACGTGGCAACAGTGGGAAAGTATTTGATTCATGTGGCACTGACAAACCAAAATGACAACACTGTGGAAATTGACGACATTTTTATCCCTTTTAATAAAATAATATTTAGAATATCACGCTGATCTAAATGAAGCTGTACCATTTTAGTTTTTAAATTCAGTCTAGTTTTGGCAACTTTTGTTTTCATGAAAGTGACAACATAATGTGCTTCTGACATTTTTAGTTTCTCACAACCTGTTTTTTGTTTTCACACTGATGAGATTATTGATTTTATTTGTTTTAATTTTGTGGGTTGTTTTCTGTTCTGTCTCTGACTTTTAATGGGAAATGGTTAATGGTCACTTTATAATCATGGCAATAAATAAAGTCTGACATTGTAGACAATCTAGGGAGATCAAACTTGTTTTCATGCTTTCTTCATCCATGTTGGTTTGTTTCTCACGCTCCAGTTTTATTTATTTAGCAGCCTTCTTTGGATTTCAAACCTTCCTAATCAAACTGTAAATACCCTTAAAAGGTTTTAGAAAAGAGGTCATAATGGCATTAATGACTTGCGATTGTAAAACCAGCAATAAATTGCAATTCAGAGGCACCAGTTTTAATGTATAGCTACTCTTTCTAAATGGTCACGGTGAGATGATGATCATGACGATGATTGATATGCATTTATCCAACATTCCAGATTTTGTACATAATTACCTGTTTCTGAAGTAACCTGTGGAAAATAAACTAATGCTGTTTAACACAGATTTCTGTGTCGTTTTCTTTTATTATCCTGCGAGTTTATATAAAAGGATGAATGCAAAACTGGGATTAGATTAACTGGATCACTACATAAATAACAGACTGTACTGTTAAGTTTTTGGGGAGTAATTTTGCCTCTGTTTAAAATCCACTGGGATGGTAAACAATCAGTATCATTAAAGTACAGACCTTTGGCTTACATTGAGTAGGTTTAACAAAAGTATTGATTGCATTGCCTGACATTTTTAGTGCAATTCTAACGTAACTAATAATTACTTTTTTGTAGTCAATGCTCCATTTTCAAAAGGCTCAGAAGTAATTGGACAGTTGATAAACGGCTTCATGGCCACACGAGGCTCGTTATTTAATGACAAATTAAGCAGATAAAAGTTTAAGTTGATACCATTTGTTGAACTTGTATTTGACAACTCTTGGTAAATGGACTGGTTCTTGTATAGCGCCTTACACAACTTACCTCATACACACAAGCACTTTTCTTCCTATGCTCTATGTAAGTGCTTCTATCTACCATTCACACGCATTCAGAATCTGATAGATTCATCTGTGAGCAACTTGGGGTTAGTATGTTGCCCAATATTTGGCATGCAGACTGGAGCAGACAAGGATGGAACCACCACCTTTCCAATTAGTAGGTGACCTGCTCTAGCACCTAAGCTACAGCCACCCCACCCACTCAATATGGGGTCCAAAGAGATACCTATACAAGTGAAGGAGGCCATCTTTAGACCAAAAAACCTAACAGATTTTTTTTTTTTTAGAAGTGGTCGAATCAACAATCTGTTACTTGATTAAAACTGAGAAATGCACTGGCCAGAAAGACCACCGAAGACACCTGGTTACAATCAAAAACAAGAAGGTGCGATTAGATTTTGTAAGAAAGCATCTAAAAGAGTCAGCACAGTTCTGGAAACTGTTCTTTGGATCGATGAAAACAACATAACTTGTACCAGAATGATGGGAAGAGCTCATGATCCAAAGAAGATCACATCACCTAGCATAGCGGATGTTTGCTGATGATGTGACTGCTGACACAAGCAGCAGGATCAAGTTGCAAAACTAGTGGGATGGCAGCACAAGCCAGGATTTTCCCATTCAAAGACGTGGGATTTTCTTCAGTGGCCGAGCGTGTCACCAAATGTCGGCACAGTATAGCATGCTTTCCAGTAACTGAAGGCAGCTGCAGTAAGAGCCTGGCAGCATCTCAAGGGAGAATGTGGCAACATCTGTGGCTTCTACACTTCAGGACATTTATCCAAGTATTAAAAACAATCTTTATATTAAAAATTATGTCAAAGTTGTCCTCTGAAAATGGGTGCAGTGTATCAAAGTGTCATTCATAAAGAGTCAATGTAGAATTTTTGTAAAAGCCATTGAATTAACGGTAAAAATCTGCAGTTCACTCACATCTTGATTGTGGACCTCACTGTACAGTATAAATACATGTGTGTGTGTGTGTATGCGGATCTCACACGTCATGTCAATTACACACACAATGACATAAATATATGCTTCTTTAATGCTTTTGTACAGATATAGGTTCGGACTTCATGAAAACAAAATTGCTATACATGTTTATTTTTTGAAGGTTATGTTTTTGGCTGCACTTGGGTGCATTAGTGTCATTCTGTCTTTAAACACAATAGCTCGAAAGGTTTTTAATGAATTCTGAAGATGTATACAATCACACTATCTGCATTTAAGTTGTTTTTCAAACGTTTAACTTCATCTGTTATCCAGTGGATACTAATATTCAGTATTTTCTAATTTAATTATTGCTGTGGCGATCTCGGCACAATATTTTACATAATTTCCTTAGGGATAAAGTATTCTGAGTCTGGTTATAGAATATTTTGAGAAGCCCTGGCTTCACTGAGGAAGTTTAAAAAATGGAAATACAAATTTCAGTCGTTCAGTATGTACAGAGGTGCTGTGACGTTTGGTTAAAGATGGTGGAATTTAAAATGTTTAGATTTTCACTGGGAGTGACCAGAATGGACAGCATTAGAAATGAGTACATCAGAGGGACGGCTCAGTTTGGAGAAAAAGTTAGAGAGACTCGGCTGACGTGGTTTGGACGTGTGTAGAGGAGGGATTGTGGATATGCTGGACAAGAGATGTTGAAAATGGAGCTGTCAGGCGGGAGTAAAAAAGGAAGACCTCGGAGGAGGTTCACTGATGTAGAGAAGGAGGACATGGAG